TGCCTATGCTGGCTTCACACCATGATCCTCAGACTTCAGCCTCCTGAGTAGTTAGGATTACAATTGTGAGCTACTGGTGCTCAGCCCAGACCGTGTGACTTTAAAAACTCCACAAATAAAACCTAAATTAAGCTGGGCGCTGGTGGCTCATGCCTGTAATCCTAGCTACTCAGGAGGCTGAGATCCGAGGATTGGTTCAAAGCCAGCCAGCCCAGGCAGGAAAGTGAGACTCCAATCTCCAATAAAACACTCAGAAAACCAGAAGTGGCGCTGTGGCTCAAGCGGTAGAGCACTCGCCTTGAGCTGAAGAGCTGAGGGACAGGGCCTAGGCCCAGAGTTCAGGCCCCACGACCGGACCCCCCAGAAAAAAAAAATCCCAGGGACAGCACCCAGGCCCTGAGTCCAAGCCCTACAACCACCACCACCACCAACAACAAAATTCTGTAATATGAACACTCACTACATAGAGACTATATAGAGACACTGGCAGTCAAATAAGCTATAACACACTCTCCTACCAAAAGTTTTGTTATAGAAGGAATTTATACTTAAAATACAGCTTTAAATGCAATCTTAGAAGACACAAATCACCAAAAACTTCAAAATTATTACTCAAAATTCTAAGAAAGCTCCACCAAAATATCTGATGTACCCTTTTCCACAACAGTCCAACAATAGCACATTAACCATAAGAACAAAATATGCTAGATAAGGAAAAGGTGAATGTGTGCAACAAGTAGAAATTACTTTAAATAAAAGAAAGGCCAGGGCTGGGAAGGTGGCTCAGTGGTAGAGCACTTGCCTTGCATGCTCGAGGCCCTGGGTTCGATTCCTCAGCACCACATAAGCAAAAAGAAAAAAGCTGGAAATGGAGCTGTGGCTCAAGAGGTAGAGCCTAGCCTTGAGCTGAAGAGCTGAGGGACAGTGCCCAGGCCCAGAGTTCAGGCCCCACGACCGGACCCAAAAAAAAAAAAAAGAAAGGCCAAGCACTGGAGGTTCAGAAGTGTGATCTTAGTTACTTGAGAATCTGAGATAGGGGGAAATCAAGGTTGGAGGCCCACTAGGGCATACACTCCAGATCCCCTTCTCAATCAATACCTAATTGCAATGCAACCTGTCATTCCAACTATGCAGAAGGCTGAAACAGGGAGGATCCTGGCTCCAGACCAGCTAAAGCAGAAAAGTCTGAGACTCCATCTCAATATAAAAAGCAGAGTATGTAAGCATGTAAAAAAGTGAATTACAGGGCTGGGAAGGTGGCTCAGTGGTAGAGCACTTGCCTTGCATGCCTGAGGCCCTGGGTTCAATTCCTCAGCACCACATAAGCAAAAAGAAAAAAGCCGGAAGTGGCACTGTGGCTCAAGTGGTAGAGCACTAGCCTTGAGCTGAAGAGCTGAGGGACAGTGCTCAGGACCACAGTTCAGGCCCCACGACTGGACCCCCCCCAAAAAAAAAAAGTGAATTACAAGCTGGGTGCTGGTGGCTCCCGTCTATAATCCTAGCTACTCAGGAGGCAGAGATCTGAGGACCACGGTTCAAAGCCAACTCAGGCAGGAAAGTCCATAAGACTCTTATCTCCAATTAACCACCAGAAAACCAGAAGTGGCACCATGGCTCAAAGTGGTAGAGCACTAGCCTAGAGCTGAAGAGTTCAGGGACAGAGTCCAGGCCCAGTTCAAGCTCCAGGACTGGCAAAAAAAAAAAAGTGAACTTTGGGCTGGGAATGTGGCTAGTGGTAGAGTGCTTGTCTAGCACACATAAAGCCCAGGGTTCAATTCCTCAGCACCATATAAGCAAAAAAAGCCAGAAGTGGCACTGTAGTTCAAGTGGTAGGTTCAGTGCTAGCTTTGAGCAAAAGCAGCTCGGAGACAGTGTCCAAACCCTGAGTTCAAGCCCCAGGTCTGGCAAAAAAAAAAGGAAGATTTGGACAATACACAATACACAAAAGATGAGCATTGCTCCTCAGCAAGGATGACATGCAAATTCATAAAGTGACCCCTATTAAAAACAAAAGATGCTTGCTGAATGGCTCTTCCTTTAAAGACTGTATTTCAGGGCTGGGAAGGTGGCTCAGTGGTAGAGCGCTTGCCTTGCATGCATGAGGCCCTGGGTTCGATTCCTCAGCACCACATAAGCAAAAAGAAAAAAGCCAGAAGTGGCACTGTGGCTCAAGTGGTAGAGCGCTAGCCTTGAGCTGAAGAGCTGAGGGACTGGGCCCAGGCCCAGAGTTCAGGCCCCATGACCAGACCCCCCCCCAAAAAAAAAAGACTATTTCAAGTTTCTTCAGATATCTATCAAACAGTTCAACGATTCAAAGTCTATACATTTGACATGATAAAAATGAATTTCATGTAGCAAAAACTACCTCAGAAGGGAGTTCTGCAGCACTGTCTCTTTTCTGTTACCAAATAAAAGTTTAATTCAAGAAATGTCAAGCCAGGCATCAATAGCTCACACTTACAATCCTAGATACTTAGAAGACCAAAATTGAGACTCCAAGTTCAAAGTCATCCTGGGCAGACAAATCTACAAGACTGTTATCTCCAATGAACCAGCAGAAAGACAAGACCTAGAGATGTGGCTCAAGTGATAGATGTGCCAGCCTTGAGTGAAAAAGCTGAGTGAAAGTTCAGCCGGGCAACAGTGGCTCAAGACTGTATTCCTAGCTGAGATTTGAGGATCAAAGTTCAAAGCCAGCCTGAGAAGAAAAGTTCCACAGGAGACTCTAATCTCCAATTAACCACCTGAAAACCACAAGTGGAGCTATGGCTCAAAGTAGTAGAGATCCAGCCTTAAGCAAAAAAAGTTCAGGGACAATGTCCAGGCCCTGAGTTCAAGCACAAGGACTGACAAAAAGAAAAAGAAGAAGAAAAGAGGCGGGCACTGGTGGCTCACACCTATAATCCTAATATGGAGGCTAAGGACTGAGGATCACAGCTCAAAGCCAATACTAGCAGGAAAATCTGTGAGATTCTTATTTCCAATTAACCATCAAAAGCTGGAAGCAAAGCTGTGGCTCAAGTGGAAGTGTCCCAGCCTTGAGTGAAAAAGCTAACATTTAAAAAAGAATTACAAAAACAACACATAGGGGCTGAGAATGTAGCCAAGCCCAGTGGTAGAGTGCTTGCCTAGTGTTCATGAAGCCCTGGGTTCAATTCCTCAGAACCACATAAACAGAAAAAGCTGGAAGTGGTGCTGTGGCTCAAGTGGTAGAGTGCTAGCCTTGAGCAAAAGAAGCTCAGGGACATTGCCCAGGCCTTGAGTTCAAGCTCCGAGACTGGCAAAAAAAAAAAAAAAAATTAACACATAGATAGGGAACAAAAGGCAATCTCTGAATAAGGCCCACCAAACTATATACTTGCTGTATGCACATGCTAATATATGCCAAACCTTTTTAACAATCACATCAAAAAAGAAAAGCTGCCTGGTGCCAGTGGCTCACGTCTGCAATATTAGGTGCTCAGGAGGCTGAGATCTGCAGTTCGAGGTTCAAAGCTAGCCAGGGCAAGAAAATCCATGGGAGTCTTATCTCCAATAAACTACCAAAAAAGCTGGAAGTAGAGCTGTGGTTCAAGTTGTAGAGCACTAGCCTTTAGAAAAAGAAGCTTAGGGACAGCACCAGGCCAAGTTCAAACCCAGAGACCAGGGCCCCCCCCAAAAAAATTTATTTGTAATAAAAAAATAAATTTAAAAAGACAGTGAACCTTTTCTCTAAAAGAAGGAAGATCATCAGAAAAATGTATTCAAAACCAAGTTTTTTCCAAATTCAGTGTAAAACAGAACAAAATAAAACCACCATAAATTTCTACAGTTAAACCTTTTAGTTCAGCAAATTCCACATACTACCTACAATTCAGTGACTTTCCTAATATCCCACTCTAAAATCATGAATTAAAATTAATTTATTAATAAATAATTTATTAATAAATTTATTTTTGTGCTGGTACTTGGGCTTAAACTCAGAGCTAAAATGCTTTCCCTTAGTCCCTCCCCCCTCCCCCAAGGCTAACACTCTACCACTAAAGCCACAGTCCTACTTCTGGCTTTTCGCTGATTAACTGGAGATAAAAGAGTTTCATGGACTTCTCTGCTTGGGCTGGTTTTAAACTGCAATCCTCTTATCTCAGCCTCCTGAATAGCTAGGATTAAAAGCATCAGCCACTGGTGCCCCAGCACAAATATTTGAAATGAATACAGGATAAAATGATTAATAAAGGGGCTGGAAGGTGGCTCAGTGGTACAGTGTACAAGGCCCTGAGTTCGATTCCTCAGCACCACATAAGCAGAAAAGGCCAGAAGTGGCGTTATGGCTCAAATGGTAGAGCGCTAGCCTTGAGCTGAAGAGCTGAGGGACAGCGCCCGGCCCCACAACCAACCAAAAAAAAAAAAAAAATTAATAAAGTTCTCTGATTACAGAAAACAAAATCGGTTCTAAAAGTCCGAGAATTAAAAGTATTTACATACACCCAGTTACCCCTCCCAATAAGTAAAATATCTTTCAACAAAATATATCTCATACATTCTTTCCAAAATACAGAACCTTAGCAGCATCTAGTACTCTGTATGTCCTCAATCAATACCCTCTACAATCCTCCAAACATACCAAAAGTGCTAACTTGTTAAAATAATCCAGTTTCTCCCAGCTCAAAAATTACTAATTCTGATACCACATTATCTTGAAAAACTATATAGAACTATCCCTACCCAGTTTTATCCTTATTATTACTATTATAACTTATCCAACTAAGTTTATCATAACATCAATATGGTAAATTTGGAATCATTATCATTTTAAATGCACAAAACCATTTGATCTGCATTGGTTTCTACCCAGCACAAGAAATATTAAGGCTCTAATTACTTGACCAAACCCTTACCTCCCCATTCCTCTGGTACACAAAAAGCCACCTGAAAAGTTTAGCAACACTAAGTTCACAAGAGGAAACAAAATAACTACTTTAAAACTAAGAGTAGAGGAAAGGGAAGGGGGGAATACTAACCAGTCTCTGGCTGTAACGAATCCTTTCTTCTTCGGGTTCCATCTCTTACTCTTCTGCGCAAAGTAGTGTAATGAAACCACTCCAGGGCTGCCTTCCTCTTTCTCCTTAGGAACCAGATTGCAACACTAGAGAATAATGATAGGAGCAGACATGAGAACATTTCTCAAACTTAGGCTTTCTTCTCATAGAAAGGAGTATTTAAGATGTGTATTAAATTAGAGGCTAGAAAAAAAATCACGTTCCTTTTTATAAGTTTGGGATCTTTCTGCTCTTAGGCAAGTAGTTCCTTGTCATGTTCAACATTAACCACATTACACACCACTGGAGGCCTAGGCAAAAGGAAATGTTGGGGTTACTGTTTCTTATGACAGGCCATACCACTTATTTCTGCCCACGAAATTTGCAAAGCTCCCCTTCATTAGCCAAACATAAATAAATTAAAATAAATAAATTGAATTCTAAGTTAAATTTCCAAAAGAAGACTCTAGGACTTGTATCTCCAGAGAGCTAGCTGACCAGATGAGCTGAACTAATCCGGATCTTAAGCAAATTGGTTCACACAGCATCGATTAGAAACTAAGTTGGAAAGAAGGGCAGACTTAACTATACAAAAAAAAAAAAATTAAAGAAGACTCGGAAACAATTACCCATACCCTTCCCTGAGACTGTACACAATCATCACCTTCCTCTCCTAGACGTACCCTCCAGCCCAACACTAGATGTGCACAACTCTGAAACAAATTTGAGTTGCAAATCAAGAGACCAAAATATGGTCTGTGCTTGATAAAGTAGAAAATGAAATGATTCGATCTATGAATACGAGTAAACGGCACTCTTTCCAAAAACTAAAGTGTCACAGTCGAGCCACATCACCAAGTACGGATTTTCATTTTTATAAATATTCTCAGATAATGGCTTCCATTGGGAATGCAGGTTTTTTCTTTTTGTAACTACATTACAGCCACGTTAACGGCATCCTTTCAAAACTGCTAGGAGACCTGAGGACCCGATGACACAGTTTGCAGTTCGTGGCACTGCCCTCCCGGAGGAAGCCAGTCCTCACCCACGGTCGCGAGGGACCCTGTGTCTGCACCCCCTGAGCAAGGGCCACACGGGCCGGACGGGGAAAACAAGCGATCTACGGTTCCCCCATCGCAAAGAAGAAATAGAAACTTTACATTGTCTTCAGGTAACACAGAGCACCAAACTTCCCAAGGCGGGGGGGGGGGGGGGGAATGAAAGTGTTGCGGAGGGGGGGGGGGAGGGGGAGGAGTCGCTCACCGGGGATTTTGCTCTTGACTTCTTGTCCAAGTGAGAAGTAAAAGATTCCAAAACCAGAGGAAATTTTTGTTTAATCCCACACGTCGTCTTCTGTTTTTTCCGTGGGTTAATCCAGTATCCAGAAAGGGTCAGAGCGACCCAGAAAAGAGAGGAAACAGTTGCAGGATCAAACCTCCTCTTCTGGCTTCGGAGATCCGGCGTCGGAGGCGTC